CAGTGCTGTTGTATCTTCAAACAATCACTAAATGAATTGTAAGTCGAGGGCTATCTGTATTAGCACATATCTGATGATGTAAGCTTGAACATAATGAATTTATTACTCCATCAATATATTATACATGTAATATTTAATTTATCCAATTAAAATCTGCTACAATTTTTTTTTCAAATTATATATGAAACTATCAGGGGGAATATCCATATATGTATATTAAAACATATATATTAATCATTTAAAATGCATGGTAGACTGTGCATGACATTAAAAAATAATGATGTGTATTGTAAGAACTGCTTTTTAATTAAAATGCATTATGAAAAAGTTATTTTTTTAAAAAATCACTTTGATTGAAGGCTTCTGCTTACCCCTTTCTGGAGCCCCCCAAATGGGATTGTTGGGAATTTCTGCAGCAGAAAAACAGAAGAGAAAAGGGATTTCTAATCCTGGTTCATGGAATAATGGGTAAGATTGTCTAGAACCAGGCAAAACAAGCAAACAAGTAAACCAAATCTTGGAAACCGTTTGGCCAATTACTTCTAGAGGTGCTTCTAAATTTTAGACTTTAAGTTGATTTCAGGAGAAGCATTAAATTAATTAGCAATTTAAAAATGCATTCTAGTGTAAGAGGAAACAGCATCTAGGGAGAGAAGGGGATGTAAAAAAATGAAGATGGCAGTCTGAATGGCTTTCTAAGTTCTACCCCATTTTTATACGAGACAGAACCTCTTTTGTTCCTTTTATAATTCTTCCTCTCCCATACCTGGTAAGAGACCATGTAACCAAAATGGCAGAAACTGTTTCCAGAAATCTAATTATACTATAAAATTCAACATTGCCTACATACAAAACTTGAACATACTTAATTTCTGCCCTGGGGATATTACTGTCTACCATACATTTTTAAAGGCTGAAGCTACTGCTTTTAAAATAATATAAAATAACATATATTATATCATATAATTAATCAATTATTAATATAAATAAACATTATACATTGTTCTCGTATTATTACTCTGAAAAAGTAATACCATTAATTTTTCATTTATAATATGTTTTCCGCAATTCAAACTATATTATAAAGAACGTAAGACCCCTTTACGGCATTATTATTAAAAGGGATTAGCTTCAGATTTCTGGAGAGTTAGGAAAGACTGTTTTAGTATCCTATAGAAGAGCTATTTGAAAGAGCACAAGATGTGTAATTATCTCCTCAGAGTGACTAGAAATAATCAGTCATAGTACCTCAGATGATTTCTTAATTTTTTTTCTAATAAAAATGGGTTTAAATTAAAATAGATACATATTGTCTAGAATGGGAATAGAAAATCCAAATGGATTTACAATATTGTAAATGAGACAGTTAAAAATTACTACTATACTAATGCTACGCTATACTGTACTACTGTTACTACTGAAAACAGACAAAAACACAATGCGTTTTGTGTATATATTTCTTCTCTTTTAGTAGATATAAAAGGTATCTGCAAAACAACTCCCTCCCCCTCAATGGTGGATTTCAAAAAGTTTTCCTACCAGTTCGGTGTGAGAGTGCACTTTGCGCACACGTGGCGTTTGCAACTCCCCTTCAGCTGCAAGCCCTGTGTGTAAAACAGCTGATGCGCGGCAATCTGCTGTGCCGCGCGAAGCAGCTGAGATGGAAAAGCATGAAATAAAGGTCAGTATTGAGCTGGGACAGGTGGGAGGGCCCAGCAGCTGATCGTTGGAGTGAACTAGTTCACTCACAGATAATCGTCGCAGCTACTGGTTCGGCCAAACCGGTAGAATGCCACCACTGCTCCCCCTTTTGAAACGCCAGTATTCTTTATGCAAAAAAAGGCATTTGCATTCTGCCACTATAATCATGCTACAGGCACTGAATGTCTCTATTCTTGTCACAAATCACTCACAGTTATTTTACTGCCAAATCTACTTGAGCAACCAGCCATAATATCCATAAACCAGTTCATGTTAGTGAATTACACAGGTGAAAAGTCACAAGGCATGACTTGGGAAGAACTGACTTTGGACCTACAAACCTACCTATGCTACTGTTGAGAAGTAGGGAAAGGTCTATCATACAGCTATAACCTTAATAGGAAAATCTTATTTACTTCATTTATTGCAAGATATTTTACACTGTGACCACAAATAATTTTCAGGCAAATCCATTCAGTAGTTCTTGATTAATCCAGACAAAAATATGCTTAGAGTGTACATATAAGAAATGAAATTCTTATCATATATTACATGATAGAGGAATAGTTGACCAAAGGCCATTGTTTCTTAAGAAAGGTTTAAGGATAGTCTCTATTTTTTGATACAGAATTGTGATAATCTTAATTTCCAAGTTGTTCTTATTCCCCTAGCTGCCTCTACTCTCAACAGACAAACTCTACTCTTGTAAAATAATTTTAATATTGCATTCAGTTTTTGGGTCCAGAAAGCAAACCCAGAAAGCTGCTTATAATGAGATTTTATCCAGCTCTGTCTTGTGTAGGGTTTAAAGAAGAGTTTCCCCTCCCAATCCCATGAATTGCTGCTAGAGTTGACCTACTGCTGAGCTGACCCTTCCCCCAAGCACTTGGGAGCGCATAAGATGAGGCGAAGCAAACCTTCACCTCCAAGAACACTGTGATAACCTTCTATTCTATTATCAGTGTGCATCTGTTGGCAGTGAAAAGTTTCAAGATCTGTATTCCAACCTAAATCTTCTTGGATGAACAATGACACTATAATGATATTGACTAAGAGTCACACTTTATATAATTGCTTTACTCAATTACAAAACCATTGACAAGAAGTGCAAGCACAATATTCTCACACATACAATTATGTTCTTTATTTGGTGAGGAAATTTTTTAGCTTGTTAATATTAATATCCAATAATTGGAAAACTGAAAAAGTACAAATACTCACTGATAGATGTACTGATTGAAAGATGTACTTTCTACTATCCAGCATGCTTTGGACTATTCATAACTTACAATTCCTAACCACTTTCTTATTGTAATATCTGAAAATGGGCCCAGAATATATAAGTTGTTTGAGTATTAAAAGTAAAAATAACTGGTGCAGATTTCCATTACTACTAAGAGGCAGAGGTAAATGAGTTTCCATGTTTTTTGTATCTCCTTAATACGTGTGGAATCTCCAGATAAATTCAAACATTGTTCTTTTATAAAATGTGATGAAATACCTCTCCCTTCATCTTACTTCAGATTATGCCCAATCTTATAGCCAAACAACCTAAATGGCTGCCATTTGAAGACTGTTTTGTGAGCTTCAGCATTTATATAAGGTTACAGTTAAGATTCAGTGGTAGGTTGGGTCATGCTTAGGAACATTATTATAATTTAGTATGATTAAGTGTGCAAATAAATTAATTGTAGAAGCTAATGGACATTTGAATTTGAAAAAATGGCATGCTACCTTACTTTTTTAATCCTCACAATTGTTATTGTAGATGTTTTAATTATGTTTTGTACATTTTAATGCAGTGAGGATAGTAACATGAATTTTACTTTAATCCAAAGCTCTGATTTCTTGCAGGCAAAGAATATTTGATGTACATTACAGTACATGCATAAATATTTTGAAAAATTAGCTAATTTATTTCAGTGGAGAAATTACCATTAAATACATATATCTCACCATACAATCTATTCACTTTATTGAAATGAACAAAAAAATTGAGAGACCTATGGATCCATTCAAACATATTTAGATTTCTGGTGGAAATTCCTTTGGAAATTTTCAAGCAATATTGAAAAGGCCTCCCTTCCCCCGGAAATGAACCTCTATTAATTCAACATATTTATTAATTTCTTCTAATGCAAAACCCGCCTAGAAGATTTATGGGGGGGGGGGGGAAACCTGAGGTTTTATAGTAGTAAATATGATTAGGTTCTAAATATGATTAATGCATTTTGATGAGATTCCTATGAAAAGATAAAAGATTTATACTCAGTAATGAAAACATTTTAAATGTTTACTAAAATGGCACATTGGCTTTCAAAACTTCTCTCTAATTTGCTAAGGCTCCTTTTCATCACTGAAGTAGCATAAGAACAATACTTGTGGATTGTTTCTCCAATGATCGTTCCAGGACATTCAATCATTTTTATTAAAGTACCTCTTCGTCACTAAAGGAACAACAAAATCCCAAACAATATTTTTATTGGGTTAATTTGATTTTTGCCTTTTGTGCTGCCAGCTATCATGATTGTCAAATAAACCAGATTTGATTCATAAATAATAGTTCCATTATCTCTACCGGGCCACCGGTCAGGATACCTGAAATTTTAATTCACTTGTTCAGCTAAATTTCATCCTCAGTTCATGGCCATAAAATTCTGTATTGACAAACTTTCAACCAACTTTGACTCTGAGGTATCTAGTCAACATTTTTCTTCGGTGTGGATATTAGTTTATTGAATAAATGGCATCTGTTTTCCTCCACATCACTAGTGGAGTAGGTATTTCCTTTTGACAGCTTTGCACAATTTATGGCTTTGCATGCTCTGAAGAAAAATAGTGCTAAGCAAAAAATTCCAATTCATTACCCCTTAGTACTTAATTAAGTTCATACACATTGCACACTATAGGTGAACCCTGAAATGGCTATGACAGCTGCTGAGCCACACGTTATATTATCTTTCAAAGACAAAATGACTTTTAATTATCTTGACCTGTTTTTTCCCATCTGGTATGTCCATATTTTTTCCTTCTATTTTGTCCCCTCCTCCACTTTCCAAGACATGTACCAAACTAAGATTATATTCTTAGCCATTTTCTCTTATCTGTATCTTTATTTTTACAAATAATAACACTAATCTACAGTCATTATTTGTATGTTTCATACAGCAGCAGATGAATTACCCTGCACAGGCTCCTCCTAATAACATTCTGTTGCTGAAAAGTGTGTCAGCCTGATAAAGCAAAAACAATGTTGTCTATATCAGCAGATACAGAAGTAAAGAGCGTCATGTTTTTACCTGTCAGGGTTCTGTGTACAAACATGCATTTGCAAGAGGATCCGCTGGGTGAAAGTCTTAAAGCATTGCCCACATTTCCAAAGATGCCAGTCACTAAACTCAGAATTTAATTGACTCGTTGATGTGGGACTCGCTAGGACTCGTTGGTTTTTTACATTGATCTGGTTAAATCCTGATTCGAGAGAACCTGATTTATCCAGAAGAGAGAAATTCCTGTTACATGGAGTCTGTGGAAAGACTATGGATCGTTGTGGAGGGGCAGAGGGCGGTTTGCTACTTTTGCTGAATGGCTGGAGGGTGTCTTGTCTTGACATGGCTTCCATAACAGTTGAAGGAACATTCACTGGAAGGGGAAAAAAGAAAATTCCTGACATTATAACACAGCCTTCAGAAATATGAAAAAAACATTACCATAAACACACATCATAATCTATTTATCTTTTATTGTATTTACAATAAAGCACTGAATTCTAATAGTAGAGATAAACAGATAAGCATTTCAATGAAATTGTTTCTGGTCTACACATACAGTCCTATATGTTGGTCAGGAAGTGGTAAAAAAGAATTCCAAAAGCAAATTTGAGATTTCATTTCTGGATGTTTCCTCATGCCACAAACATCATATTAAGTAGAAGAACAGCACTGCAAAAAAACTATTTTAGCCAGTGTGATTATTTTCTGTTTGTAGGGGCATTTTAAAAAGTGGAAAATCTTATTTACAACCCATAATACATTCCAACTGATTGTTTTCAGAATTTTATCACCATTTTCATAACAATGACAACAAAGTTAGTTTAGTTCACTGTAAGATTGTGAAATAGTCTCGTATATACCCATCTAACATTTACACATGATTTTTTCATTATTTCTCTTTTGCAAATTTTAAAACTCATGAAAAATTGATATAAAATTAGTATCAAATAAACAATTTACACAAACATACATGAAGAAAAACAATTTATTAGGCAGGCAATTCAATGCAGATGAACAGATGAATAAATCTGGATGTTTTGTATATTTTCTCCAAGCAAGCACTTTTTAAAGCAGGTAGGATGGTATAGTTCACATCTCTTCCCTAAATTATTCTTTGTTTTTAATTTGATTTGTATACTTTTTAATTGTATGCCACCCAGAGTCATTGTTTGCATGATGGAATTTATGTCTGAGTAGACAAGAATAAGAGCAATGTACAAAATTGTATAGAGAATGTGCCTAAATAAAATTCAATTTTTCAAGTGTAACAGATATCTAAAATAGCTATAGTTGTTTGCAATTAGTACATGTGTGTGTAATTGACATATTTCATAAACCATAAAATTAATTATTTATCCAGCAACCAGTAGTGTTAATGATTCCTCACACTTCATTTCATGAACTTCCTCATCTGGAACAGAGATGGCAATCCTATCCCCATTTAAATGCACTTGTGCTTTGCCATAATATCTATACGCTCGGAAAATCAAAATTTGAAACTATCATGGTCTAATTTTTTTAAAATCATGGTTGTATATTCATTTACAGAGTGTCATTGATATCTATCATACTTCCCAAAGGACAAGAGGATAAATCTGTTGACTTTCTAAGGAATTTATCATGTAAAATTTGACACATGGTAAAACAGAGGAAGAGAGGAGGGAAATGGATGCAGAATAAATAAAAACAATAAAAAAACAATAAAAGACACAGGCTGTGTTCTGCCTTAGGTTTCATGACAAATTGAGTTACATACAGAGCATGGGAACAAATACATTATATTAAATATATCACTGAGAAAGGTGGACATATTGCTGCATTAGTTTTTACTCTGTCTCCCCATTATATATATCTGTGGATGTTTGATCTAGCATCTGGGGCTGACAATGATGCAGTGGCTAAAACATATTACAACTGATGCAGAAATATATTTGGACCAGGTCCCTTCCTTTTAAATGCAAACCACTCCCATTCATATTAAACATAATATATTTCTTTATATGTAACAACTGGCAGCAAGATAAGTTTTCCCTTTACTTTTTTAACTTAAAAAGATACAAAGATATGCTTGGTGTTTATTAAACGAAGTATCTGTGCACACAGTGGGCATGTGGCATCATCCTCAAGACACACTAGCTTTTGTGATGGACCAAGTGATAAATTTCACTGCTGGTCTCATAGTTCACAATGATCTATAAGATTAATATTGCTCCATAATGCTCACTAAGTTGATGGGTTTTCCAGATCCTAACTAACATCTTAATGGAAAGAAAGAGTATAGCCTGCCTATTCATAAAACTCTTTTTGGCAATTATCACTGATTAGTGTTGCAGTACTTAAGTTAATAGTCTTCTTGCAAACCCTCAAGTTAATTGTCTTCAAATACAACAAATATTTATTATAATCATAAATAATAATACTATATCTTGTACTATCATACTACTAGTTTCCCTAGTTAGAACCTTCAAAACAGTTTTTCATGTCTAAGGTGGAAAATTCATGTTTGTTTGTTGACATGATTCAGTTCATAGGGTAGGGATCTACTTTAATCTTAATACAAAACATAGATACTATTTATATAAGATACTATTATTTGATAATGTGCCACTTACAGTTCTCATCCTGTGCAATGCACTGTAAAGGGATTCCAAAGAATGATGTGTAGCTATCATTATACCACACCAACAATTCAGTGCCTCTGGGAATATCCATGCAAGCTCGGTAGAATATATTTGATCTGGTCATAGACAAAAGAGAAAGAAAGAATGAATCAAAATTCCAGGATATTTTTATTACATATGAAATGGGGTAAATATTAAATATCCTCCTGATCACCTGAGTGAAAATTTTGCCTAGGAAAAGTAGTGCATTCTGGCAGTCCCAGATATCGCACATCTAGTTGACCTGATTCCACTGAAGCAGCAATCTCAGGACATACACATTAATATCTTAAGATGAAGATAAATACAGAAATGATGGGGGAAAGCTAATAGATGATTGGTGACAGCTATTATACTGTGATAAAGTGGCTACCATAAAGGGCATTTTGAAGTTCAATACCACATGTAGGTCTTAGTAAGTGGCTGCATGTTGCTAACCACCTGTTGTAAAACAAGTCAAGATTCTGATTTGGCTAATATTAGAAGGGGAGACCACTAGGATATCAAAGCATGTAGGCTAAACAGGAAAACAAAATCTGAAAAGGCAGCAATGGCAAAGCATTTTGGTTTGCTAACAAGGAAGCTGTAGGGAGGTGTCCATATAGTCACCAGAAATCAAACTCAAGAAGCTTCATCTTTTCTACTCTGCAGAGTCAAAGTGTTTTATGTATTTTTAAGCATTCAGTATTGTTTCAGGCAGTATACTTTTTTTAATTTATAGAAGTTGAGTTGTAAATAAAGAACTAAATTCTAGCTATGGTAATATCCCTCAAAAGCATAAAAACAAAGCAGAAAGTTATGTAAAATCTAAGATTATTTAAAGATGCCTGATAAAAGTGACCCAACATCTTTTAAAGATAATTTTAAAAAGATTTTTAAAATCCATACATTTCAAATATTTTTCCAGCTTGCAGTGTTTTGCTTACAAATATATTTTAAACATATCACGCCTAACTAGGATACTTGTACAGTTTTTGAATGTAATCCTAACCTCCCAAAAATGACTATGGAGCAAAATACCATCATGGAAACTCCCAGCTTGCCTGCTGATAGCTTGGCAGATAAAGAACTACCATCAGCTGGTGATAGTTAATGTGACATTTTAAAATGAGATATTCTGAGCATTAAAAGGCACCTATTTTGTTTCTTAGCATTCAGTGGCTTAAAACAGATATATAGATAAGAAATAAAGTACATATCTTCTTTGACTGAAAATCCAGAATAATCTTTTGCAGGTTTTTTAAAGTCACTATTATAATCAAAATTGAACAATAAATCCATAATTTCTCAGCAAAGTCATTTGTCTGTCATGTCAGAATGTTCCAAGTGCATTTTCATGAAACTAACAGAATCAGTAACATTAGTACACCGGGAGGCTGACTATTTTTGAACATTTTGAAAATTAGCTTTAATGGAATTAACTCAACGGAATTTCTTAACTCAACTTTTCTTTGTCTTCTTTGTAGCCTGAAGAAAGTTGAACTGTTTTAAACAATAGCAAGGAGATGCTGTATGTATTATAGGTTGAGGTTCTTCAGATTTATTTCAATTCTGCCTTGCTCCGTGTGTGTGCATACATACACACATACATACCAACTCAAAGGAAATCCATCTGCTTGCACCAAGGCATGCTACCGCTTCATTGTGCTTAGCACAGCCTGAGATCTGTACAAGTCAGACAGAGGGATGGCCACTAAACTAGAGCTGTACAAAGCAGGCCTGTCATGGTAAACCATTTCTCTATTCATTCATACTTCCCTTTATGTACCATTTTGTAATGTACCAGTAGTTAATAAAATATTTTCTTAGAAGGAAGCATGCAATCTGAAACAATAACAAGGGGAGGGAGCTACAGACAGTGGTAAAACTAACCCCAAAGTAGTCATTTAGGAGCCAAAAGAGAAATTATTATCTTGACACCGTAGTTTGTCACTTAAACCAGTTACAATAACATAAAACATCATTATATGTGATAGATCACAATTCAATAAATACAAGATGAACATTCCTTTCTACCTGGAATAGCACCCTGCAGAATGATATAGCCATAGAAGGAAGGAAGGGCCATTTATAACACCACCTCATGTGAAGCATAGATATAAATGGAGTTTTGAAAAAGTTGAATCTGAACTGTTTCCTGAAGTGAAGAATTGCTAAAAGCCTGAAGTCTGAGATAAAAGCTTGCAAGGATGGTAAGCCTTAAATTTAGTCCCTTTGTAAAAAAATGGCCATAGTGGTGCAATTTGTTTCTTGTGTAACACTGCCGACATAAGGAGAATCTTTAACCACATTTTTCATGGCAGTGAGATATGCACTTGTCAACATATTTTGTCACCGCAAAGTGGCTCTTGGCAACAGAATCATAAAGATCAATAAAAAAGTGCAGATTCTCAATATTTTACGAGCAGCTGCAAAAATTTCATTTATCTTGTTATTTTCCTCACCTACTGCCACCCTGTCTCAGGAGGGCACTGCTGGCTAAGCAGAATGCTTTTTCCCAACCTTCTATGAATATCTGACAAAAACTCAAGTCTTACTCTCTCTCCTGCCCTCACGCTCTCCCCCTCCCACTATTTTCACCCAAGCTGCACATTTTATTAATTCTTTCCACCATTACATAAAAATCAAATTGGGGCAGAGTTATAAATCACCCGCATCTCCTGACTTCAAAAAAAAAAATACAGTCTACTTTGTACTTCACCCTTGTAACTTTTCGTCTCTCTGTTTGGCTTCACCTAACATAAACACAGCAGCCCAGCAAATGAATGTGCTAAAACCCAATGACACACTTTGGTGCTGAAAGAACTGAACTGTTTTCGAGCAATGGGTGGTCTCTGAGGAGTAGGCCAAAAAAAGAGGGGGAAAAAGTGTAAGCATACACCATTCCTTACAAGCTCACAGAGCTTCCAAAACTTGCAGAAATCTCTGCATGTTGAAGTACATCAAAGGGATTTTTTCTCTTTCGGATAATATTTCCCTTGCTGACATGTATTTAGTATTGTGGTTGGATGACTCATAAAGATAGCTTCGTGGCGTCCCAACGCAGTTGAAGCAGAACACATGCCAACAAACATTATTGTCATCTTCAAAATAAAAACAAAACGTTCAGCTAAGGGTCAATCAATCAAGAGCTCTTTGAAGAAAATTCCATTTAGATATTACAAATCATAACAGAATGAATTTAAACCATCTGACTTTCAGTGAGGAGGACATCTCTGTACAATAAAAATTAGATGGATTTTCAGGGTCCAACATTTTGTTTTGTTTTTTATTTCTTTACACTTGGATGTAGTCCCTGGTGATAGATGCCAGGGTTTTTTTTAACTGTTTTTTAAAAGCAATGGAAAACAGATCAAGAGAGAAAACTCTGAGCAAGAATTACAGAATGAACAGGGAGTTATAAGATCTGTTTAATATTGACAGATGTTTAATGGTTTCCCATGGCTGGATTTTGATTGAGAATTTGTATTTTTGATTGCAAATATGCTCAGTTTAAGCCAGTTAATTTTGATGGAACAATGTTCTGATGAAATCAACTCTGCTGACTAGAAGGAGCCTTCTACACTCTTTCTTGGAAACAGCAAGCAGAAGTATGACATCATTCTTCTCTCTCTCTCTTTCTTTCTGTCTTTCTCTCTTTCCTCGAAGCATGTATCAGATGTGACACAGCGCTCTGCATAAGGACAACATATGTTCACAACTGTCTTAGTAGATCAGAAAATATTTCGATTACAAACACATCATCTACACTCTGTTGTTTAGGCAACTTGAGTGGCAGACATGGAGGGAGGAGTTGCATCACACTAGCACCATACCTGATGTGGCACATGGTGCATTGTCATGTCCCACAACCTCTCCATTGTGCTTCAACAGTTGTAAATAGTGTACTCTTTATGACAACAATGTATTAATTTCCACTTTAGTTTTGTTATGCATTAAATTATTTGTAATCTATCAAAGAGGGGGTCTGAATGCAGTGAACAAAAGGAAAGAACAAACCACATTAATAGAAGAACTGAGAACAGAGCTACAGTCCCCAAGAACTAAAACAATCCAGCTACAGAATACAATTATTTGATCTCACTTCCCTACAGAAGGAACTACTCATAGACAAGACCACATTTCTATCAACATGCAGGATGAATTCTTCATGAAGGGACCCATAACCTATTTTTACTAATAATATTATGCTGAAACCTTTCTTCTTACAGAAAATATTTAGTGGCCCAAACTGGCAAGTTGTTTTCCTTTAATTTCCTATTATTTACTTTCATGTTTAAGTTGTAAAAGATAAAAGTACAATGACCATTGCATTCATGAAAGTTTTCTGGATTCTGAAGTTACTTTTGTTCATCTTATTCTCTTATTCATCTGTGAAAATGATTTTCCTTATGTTAAAAGTATATGCACTTTTAACAAAGCAAAACAAAAAAGCTAATATACTAATTGCCAAATTGGCCATGCAGTATTTCCATAATGCCCAGTTATGCCAAATCATCATTTCTGAATTTAAAAGGGAAATCAATCAATCTTTATTGTGGTCACAGAACAGTTTGTCTAATTTTACATACAGCATAGCAGAATTTGTCCACATTCATAGAAACTACTTCATACTGATCTGATAACATTAGTTATACATAAAAAGACCAGTATTTCTCAGATATTTTATTAAGTAAATTGTTATAATTGAGTCCATGAGTCAAGATGCAGTTCAGCAGGACGTGAGCTACACTTTCAATGGCCCCTTGTACAGAGGGGGACAATGTCAGCTTATATGGTAGTTTTTTTGTACCAGCCCTCTAAAACTGCTGTGGGAAGTGCACTGCAGCATGCTGAGTTTAATGCCCTTTGGATTTTGGGACAGTTATTTGATATAAATATCTTGCTGCTTTAAAATGATTAGTTTAAAAGGAAATGTTGACTGAAAGTTCATATATCTATGTAGCATACGTATTAGGTTATTTTGTTTGCAAATATGAGTTCTACATCCAGATACAACTTCTCATGTTTGACCTTTATTTCTTAGATAATTATAGCTAACGGACAGGTGCTAGCACAGGTGTGTCTGCAAAGCTTTCTGGTTTTTCCACACAGGAACTGATATTTTTTAACATGAGTAAAGGCAACTAATTTCTAAACCTCTCAAATCTACATGCCATTTGAGCGATATGTAAAGAACATGTGCTGTACTATACAAAGCAATGTATAGTCTTTCTGTCCAAAAATGGATTAGACCCACATAACTGCACAGAAGAGATACATCCAGCAGTACTGTCTGATAAACAAAGCCACAAACTTGAATAAACATAGTGGGACTTTTCCCCTCTTCCATTCTCTTTATTTTGGTTTTGTTGGGTGCTCAGTGAAGCCACTGGGAAACTTCAAGGGATTGTTTATCCCATGACCCAAGTGTGGTGCCCCTTGAAGATAAGAAAACTCAGACATAAATGCATTGTAGACTTATATTTCTCATAATTAACACATTTTTCTAGCCGTTTTTCTACAATCATTTTGGAAAATGCAAGGTAAGTGTAATTAGCAGTTTGATCTCAACTGGCAGATGACCTTAAAAGGGAATTAATTTTCTGATCTATCGGTGGACCATACAGCTAAATTCAGAGCTGCTGTTGAGGGACAAAGAATAGGTTATGGGGAATAAGTGCAACTGAATCCAATCAATTCAATCAATATACATACAGGATGCATATTATAAATAAATGATACTTTGGTCTAATATAACATGGTTCATAGTCTGTCTTTAAGATTGGAGCCTTAGATCTGAACCTGGTTAGTTCAATTATTGGGATCAAATCATATTTTTGCATTGCCCTTGTTTTCTAAACAATTGCAAAAAAGCTATCAGGAATTTTTGCAGGATACAGCTTGATTGTAAGCACGAGTACTACAACACTGTTTAATACTTTCTGAAGTTCCTTATGCTGGCTGATATTATGCCCATCCAGTTCAGATAATGGATTTTTCTTATACTAACAGAAAATCATCATATGATTTTTAATGCAATTTTTGTTCACATTCATTTAAGAAAAGCACTTACCTCTAACCTGGTAAGCACAGCTTCTCACTGTAAGAGAATTTGCAAAGCCCCCCCACCCTCTTTTTTTTTTTTTTTTTGCTGCAGTGAAATATGCTATTTCCATGGCATTGTTTTGATACTTTCTGATACACATTTGTTTGATAAAATACTATTGAAAATAAATTGAAATATTTGTCAGATAAACTGAAGTGGAATTTACCTGTATTGGACTACAGTTAAATTTTGTTCCCCACAGTGCCGTGCACATCGAATATATCTCATCCAACTTGACTTACTGGGTTCCCCGCCATCAATAAAGTGCTGTAGTGTCCCATCTTGGTCATATATCTGTAAAGAGGTCAGAAGTCAAGTCATTAGAATGAATCATCTGCAGTCATATTTGCTGTTGCTATGTGCCACTCTCAGAAATTTATTGCAGTGAGATCTCACAGCTTATTAATGCTCTCAGAAATCAGAGGAAACAAATGACAAAATATTTTCCGTGGTAGCAGTCTGTCATGCTTTTCTTATCAGGTTAGTCTTTCCTATATTTAGCATGCTTTTCATGCATAAAAGATGCAACCATAGTTCCCAAAGAATATTTAACCTATTTTGACAGAGTAAACTTAAATAATGAACTGTCATATAAACACACACGCATACACATATGGGAAAGGCTGAACAAGGGTCAGTACTTGCTGAACAGTTTGTTGTTGTTGCTGCTTTACCAAAATCTTTCCCATATTTCCCAAAACAAGTTACAAAATGTTAAAGAATAAGACGGAAAATGAGAAGAAGCTATCCTGGGAGAAATGTATGACACTATTCCCTCACACCATCCAACCGAAGAAATGATATCAATAACTGAAATACTAAGAATTCAAACTTAAACAGGACACTTTGGGGAAAAAAACCACAGCCTTAGACTGAACGTTCATAAGCATTAATTCCTGTAGATAAGTTTAGCAAAAATATTTACAACTTCAACAATAGAATCGGGTCATTGAACAAATAGATGTAATCTGAGAAATACCTATATTGTTGCTAAAATTTAATTGTGTCACATATTAGTATACAGCACATGAAATGCAATATAGGTGTGATTTTTGTGGGCTTTTTGTGCCCCCCCCCTCTATCTGTATGAGAGAGAGAGCTGACTGATGAAAAGTTGACTGATGAAAATTCCTTATCTTACATAGATTCATATATTGAATAATCAAGTTTACAGAACTGTATGTTGAAGATCAATTTTTCTTTCTGAAGACTAACAGTATTACAAATATTCCTACACTTATGTCAATTTTAGCAGCTTAGAAATTCAGAAATTCTATAGCAACTTATTTTTCTTTTCAAAGGTTCAAATATAAATCATAGTTCTGTTGGGAAAAAATCTGGCTTCCCTTTTTTTAATTAATATATGTTGAATTTTCTTTCTGTATATATTCCAGCCAAATGCATGGCTTTGGGTCCCGTCTTGCACCATTTCTTTTCAGGTGCAATGCTTCATATGAAGATATTACCTGAGAGCCCAGTCTGATGAGCTTCCAACAATTCCAACAATTTTAACTTCTGTAGTTAAAACCTTCTAAACAGTACTTACAGTAAACTCACATTGTAGCAATAAGAAAGTATAAGATATGTACTCCTTGTTCAGTGACCACAATTGGGATTGGTAACTCGGTCACTACTGTAAATAAAGTAATCACTAGGTGCAATGATCTTATGATATAATTTCAGCTTTCTTTTCCTTTAAAGATCTGTTATGTGATATTTTTTCATCACCACCATAACTACAAACATTCACCCTTTTTATGTGATTAGATTTTCTCCTACCCATTAGCTAATCATCCTTGTGGATCTTAGTAAAACTGAGCACTTAATAGCAAAATAATTGTTTAATGTATCTGTTCCTCATCCTTGTTGCCAAAAAGTACTTCTGGTTGTAGACAGTGGTGTGTAAGAAGAGCTTTCCATCAATCACAGCTTTGGTGTGACTAATTTTTCCCCAAAGTAACACAAAAATGATGGACTAACTCTCACACTCACCCATCCCAACTCCTTATTTCATTTTGGAGACAAGGAGAAGCTGAGAGGCTCAAGTCTGGACAATGCCATTTTCAATCCCAGTTTCTCCAGACCAAGCAAAAGTGGATGTGCTAGATGTATTACCAAACAAGAATGCCAAGAACAATCTCAGAGCCTAATGAACCAATCAACTAATCAAAAGTCACCTGAAAAGAAGTTGAATCAATCTAAGCTACTACCAATCCTGAAGCCACACACTGTCTCCTCCTCCCATAACTATATAAAGAGAATTGAAATAATGGATATACCGCACTCCATAGTCTCAATTTGTGCTAAGGACCTTTGTTTAATCACTTGCAGAAACAGAATAAAACAAATCCCTAAGCACTTATAATGGGATGAACTTGCCCAGGCTATTAAGCAATAATGTCTTCTGTATTAAAAAAAAAAATACTGCAACAAAGCCTGAAAGAGATGAAGGTGGCATGATATCATATCATCAGTTTTGCAACTAGATGCTCTTCCTAAAATTTCTTAATCATGGTTAAAGTCCACAGCAGTATCTGACCTAGAAGACTGGGGCAACATGTTCTAAATAAAGTTCAGTCATTTCAGGATAGAAAGACTGGTACTCACTGCAAGGCACCTACTGTCCACAACGTTTTCACTCCATAGAAGTAAGCTAATCCCTTTGCTGCTACCCACCCTTTACACAAAAGAGACAAAAATAAGCAAAGCTGCGAGCTGTGCTGAAGAGAAAAGGAAAGCAGACCCTCCTTTCCTTCTCATTGTCAATTTCATTCTGCTAGGAATAAGCATCAGCTTTCCTCCTCTCAAACCACAAAGACTATTGGTAGCTGACAGAGATGCGCAGGAACCATTCCTCTTAAAGGACTCATTACGATAGCTGAAGCTCAAAAGGTGACAGGTGGCAAGCAATTCTACCAATGAAACAGAATAGCTTTAGCAAAATGAAATACTGCTTTGCAGGAAGGGCATTCCAGGTTACTGATAAATCCTTCTCCCTAGAAATTTCACTCAGTTGCTAAATTCAGCAAATGATTCATAACAATTAATTTGTCTTTGTTTAAGAACCCTCACTTAGTCTTCCTAACTAAATTGCTGCACTGGTGAAGTATCTTTGGCTTATATGAGGTATAAAAATTTCACAAAATTTAGTATACAGTGCTGTTTCTATATTCTCAAACACACTCAGTATTAAGTATCAACTTCCTAACATTGAAGCAGTTGCATTAACTCCTTGGAATGGGGAGCCAACTAAGAAAAGTTAAAGCTATGCAGGAATTAGGGCTGATGAAAGGTTTTGGGAATCCCAACTGGAGCTCCCAGCCAAAAACTCACTAAAATTGTGAAAAATTGGAACTCCCTGTCAAAAACTTTCAACAGAGAACCCTGTATCTCATCCTTTATATTCATTATAGCTGCAACTCAGGATTTTATTGTGTGTATTAGCATCAACTTTAAGGCTATCTATGAAATGGTAAAAACGCTAATATAAAGCCTTATTTCTAAGTTAATTAGAATTGTAAATTTCACTGCAGAATAATTTGTCACTATAGAGAAGCCCTCTTTCTGGTCCATCCACCTTATCTTCTTGTTTCACTTTGGAGGCAGAGAGAAAGGCTCAATACCATTTTCTCTGTAGGGTACCCGATCTGACCTTCACATATTCTGATGATGACATATCTTGCACTTTGCTGTACCTACTGATCACTTAGATTTTTGCAGAACAGATCTAGTAGACCTACTTTACTGAAAGTGTAGATTTCAAACTAAAATAAATTTGAAAGACTTTTTGTCTCTTTTTTAAGACTCCATATAATAGTTATTATTTTAAGTTCTTTTGCAAAGGTTCCAAAATGAAAACACTATAATAATTTTCTTTTGTATATTTTTAACAGATGAACTATCAAATTTCCAGGATGATATTTAAAGCCCAAGTAATAAAATATATGCTAAACTATGTCTGAAATTCCCCCATAAAAGAAACGAGCAATCGTTGTAAAAGCTGGAGTCATATTTTAATGCTGATAAAAGCCCATCATTCTGCCATTCTTCACATTCATTAGATGGGAGCTAGAAAACCAGCACGTTCCTTGCACAACTAATCCTTAAAGTTGCATTCAGCTGGCATTTTAGAAATTAGCCAAAAGCCTATGTTCCCATTGTGTATTGAAACCAGTGGCCCTCCTCTCAGTGTGGATTTTGTTCAGTATTGTTCCACACTGTTTTTGTAGAGATTAGAATGTTTACATCAGAACATATTCCCTTCCCAAGAGCCCTTCTGGGCTACTCGACATTTTCCCTGTCCTACTTATCTCTAAGAGTAGCAGAGGCCAAAGTACAAAGTGGAACATCAATCATTCTGGGGTCTTCTTCAGGCATCTCTTGTCAGCTGAATCAGAGAAAAACTTTGGGGAATGAGCTATCCATTATCAGGTTTTGGTCTATGATGTAGAATAAAACATAGAACCTTCTTTACCTCTTACTTGGCAAAGCTTTATATACTAGAAAAAAGGCATGACAGTTCATTCATTTTGCTCCACCCTGGAGCCAGATGATGTTTGATCGAACAGACCCACCCTCTTTGATCTCTCAATCTATTCAAACTGCCCTACTGTGAAAAATATTCCTTCCAAATTAAAGAGAAATATTTCTGCATCCAGCTGTTAAAATGTGGCATAGTTGCCATTCTTCAGTATCCCGGCAAAGTGCCACATTTCAGGCTGTGTTTCAAGCCTACCTTTTCCCCCCTTTTCTCAGCAATCATAGCCACAAATATGCTCAACATCACTATATAACCAAATGGGGAAATAAAACCATCGCTATATATCAATACCAAATGGGGAAATAAAAGTAGTACTTTATATCTCTGTGAACTTTATTACAAATATTTATACATATTTCTCTTATTTGAATGTACATGTTTGGTTTTCTAAGAACTATCTAAATCAGAAATTGTTTTGAGTATTATATATTACATATGAAATATCAAGATTTAAAATATCTTTTAACCTAAGAAAAATGAATTTTAGTTTAGTTCTGATTACAATAACCAAACCATGAAGTGAACCTTGTAGAGGTTTCGTTTACAAATGAAATGTGTTTGGATGTTATTAAGGCTGTTTCTCATGTGCACTTGAGCCCACATCAAAAAAAGTGGCTCGCGTACAGCAGGACCTAGCTCTGTTTAAATTAAGACAAACTTCTCATGAAAGCTTGAATAAACATTTAGATTTAAGTAATCAAGAAAATCTGTATCTTCTCATATTTATTAAGTGCAATTTTTGGAGTTATAAAAA